CCATCTGAAGCAAAGAGCATACTTCCTGCGGACACTTTTTAGGCTGAGTGGCCCATCTTGTCTTGTACTATCTTTGGTGAAGTGAAGAAAATTCGTGTCAATTTCCTACTCCTAAGGTCACAACGTCGGTCCCCCTGATCATAACCCCAACCCCCCCTAAAAAAAACAACAACAAACAAACAACAAACCCAACAACAACAACAACACACACAAAAACTAACTAAAACAAAAAACAAAACACACACACACATACAGAGAGAGAGAGAGAGAGAGAGAGAGAGAGAGAGAGAGAGAGAGAGAGAAGCCCCATACCAACAGACAGTAAAGTGGTGAGCAGAAGAAAAAGAAGTACTGCATCATCATCATCATCATCATCATCATCATCATCATCATCATCATCATCATCATCATCATCATCATCATCATCACAACAACAACAACAAACAACAACAACAACAACAGCAAAAGCCACACACACAGACTGGTCGTCAGTTTCACCTGTGTATAATGTCCAATCATCACTGGGCCAAAATGATCGACTGTCCTATTGAAGACGTAATTCTTGTGTTCGTCATACCAGGCATTAATTGCAACGACAAAACTGTCTCCTCCAGACATCAGATTTTGACCCACAGGGAACCGGCCTTGAGAGAAAAGGTTTTTTTTTTAAAATGGTGGTGTCATGAAATGTAATTTTATTTACAGTCTAATGAATCAGAGATTGCAAATTACCTTGCTGGACTATAAGAGTAAGGTTATGTAAGAGGCAGGACTTCCAAGTGGGCGGTTGGCGGGCGCTCTGTGTGATTTGCTCCTTCTTTCCTATCAAATATCTATAGTCCTTATCTTTCCTGATTCTTTCCTGTGTTTGTTACTCTCTTGTGAAACCTCTAATCTTCGGCACTTATATGACCTTATTGTGTTGCAAGTGCTGTAAAAACTCTTACTAAAAGAAAGGACTTCCAAATTTAAAGTCTATCTTCGACAGGATAAAGCCAAATAGGAGAATACGTGTCAAGTCCCTTTGCCACGGACACAACATCGGACTGAGCAAAGTCTCGAACCTCTATTGTGAACTGCAATTTCACCATTATGGGGATCGGGAGGGGTGTTATACCCCGAAAGTCCCGATTCGGCTCAAAACTATGGATTTTAAGCTGTAGGCATTTTTAGCTTCTTCAGCCTCTGCTACAACTATTTCGTCGCATAAGAACCCCCTTAAGCCTTATTTCTTCCCATACCAAGCATGTTTGTCACCACCATTACCTCATAAGATCAATCATTTCTTTTTCTTTATCGCCCGTTTTCTCGAAACGATGTTTTTGTCTATGCTTTTATAAATACTTCCACCTTGTTTCATCAAATGTTTATGAAGTTTTCATGGAATGAAGAAAAGATATTAAAAATACAAAAAATTATTTGATGAATTTTCGACATATGCAATAGTTTTTGTTGTTGGTGGTGTTTGGAGTGTGGATTTTCACCGATTTTTTGCAAACGTGAACACTACCTCAGGAAAAAAATTCATTAAAAATGTTACAGTACGTTTAGGAAAATTTCATCACACAGATTCGTAGATCTATTTTTTTTGCCAAGATGCATATAAAAAAGCAGTCTATTTCTATAAAAAAATAAGTGCGGTGTTAATTACGTAAGACATTTCAACAAAATCCAATATGGCCACCGTATCTATGGAAACGATTTTTTTCTCAAAGTTGATTGCGGATTTTAAGACTCCTTACTATGCTTGTTATATGTGTGAATTTGGTAACATTTAATTCACTATTAAGCTAGATAGTTTTCAGCTGCCCGCCCCTCCCCCCCCCCTTTCTTAAGAGTAAACATGGTCAAAATAAATCAGACTGGCGTCAGAGGTGTATCGGCTAAGCACTTTCCCGTTGCGTGCAGAAGACATAAGTTCAATTCCCGAGTGAGAAGGGTTTTTTTTTTTCAAACGAGTGTCTCCGTCTGTGTGCTAAGACGCTGTTTCTCTATCAACCTGGATTGGACCTGACAAGCGGGGTCAGCCTACCTCTTAAATGATCTGATTGTGTCGATGGGAGCGTTAAAAATGTATAACAACAATAATTACATGACAAATCGTTGCTCGTTGTCGCTTTCTCTTTCGTTTTGGTGTCATAGTTATATACATACAATGTATCGATTTTCATCCATGAATGTACCACAATGAAACCAGTTAGGGATGTAACATGACCCACCACATTGAGTTTCTGTTTTTAGGAGAGTTATATTACTCTCCGTCACCACGAAATCTCTCTCTCTCACACACACACACACACACACACTCTCTCTCTCTCTCTCTCTCTCTCTCTCTCTCTCTCTCTCTCTCTCTCTCTCTCTCTCTCTCTCTCTCTCTCT